TACATCTGGTAATAGAGCCACATTTCAAATTCAGGTCTAAATCTGCAGTGTAGCCCAGCTGTTTCTTCTGAGATACTTGTTTATGTTTTTGTTTAATTCTAAATGCCTGACCTGTATCCTAAATTTTTTTTACTTAGCAGCCCGTGTCTAAAGGGAGGTGGAAAGAGAAGGACCCAGGAGTCTAGCAAAAAGCACCAACATATGTGCATTCAGAGAGAGGCTGGTTATTGATTTAAACTTGAACCAGTTCTCTCTGGTCTTCGGGCCGATGCTCTAACCATTGAGAAACCGGCTAGGGCTGAACCAGTTCTCAAAAGTAGGACGTATCACTTTCTGACATTTGTTTAGTGGTTTTCTTTATATTTTCCTCTTGTGATACTAGGCATTAGCCACATGTGTATTAAATACATGCAACGTGCCCTGGCCAGTTTGGCTCAGCGGTTAGAGCGTCGGCCTGCGGTCCGGAGAGACCCGGGTTCGGTTCCCGCTAAGGGCACGTACTTCGGTTGCAGTTTGTCCCCGGCCCTGGTTGGTTGTGCGGGTGGCAGCCACTCGATGTGTCCCTTCACGTCGATGTTTCTCACTCTCTCTCCCTTCCTCTCTCTCCCTCCCACTCTATCTGTACAAAAAATGGAAAAATATCCTCCGGTGAGGATTAAAAAAAAAAAAAAATACATGCAACGTGCCCAGCCAGTGTGTCTCAGTGGTTGAGCGTCGACCCATGTACCAAAAGGTCTCCAGTTTGATTCCCGGTTAGGGCGCATGCCCAGGTTGTGGGCCTAATCCCCAGTGGGGCGCACGCAGGAGGCAGCCAGTCAATGTTCTCTCTCATTGACGTTTCTGTCTCTCTCTCTCCCTCTCCCTTCCTCTCTCTAAAAATCAATAGAGAAAAAAAATTAAAAACTAAACACATGCAATGCATTCTGGTTTGATTATTCATTCACCAAATATTTATTGAACGTATACTATATGCTTATACATCATTGAACACACCAGACATAGCCCCGCCTTCATGGAGCTTATAGTAGGTATAAATATTTGAATAGATGGGTTGTGTCTTTTTAAATTTTTATTTATTTATTTACTTGTTATCCTCACCCGAGGACATTTTTCCATTTTTGTTCAGATAGAGTGGGAGGGAGAGACAGGAAGACAGAGAGAGAGAGACAGAGACAGAAACATTGACGTGAAAAGGACACATCGAGTGGCTGCCTCCTACACAACCCCAACTAGGGCCAGGGACAAATCACAGCTGAGGTATGTGCCCTTGACCGGAATCGAACCCGCGACTCATTGATACACAGGCTGACACTCTAACCACTGAGCAAAACCAGCCAGGGCAGTGGATTGTGTCTTAAACGTACTCAGTATTTCCCTAAACACACCACAAGCAGTCACATGTGTGTATGCTGTAAGACTAGCACAGAGTTGAATGGCTTGGAATTTGTCCCATTCCAAGAAAACACTTAATGAACCAAGAATATGAAGGAATATAACAGTCAAGAAACCCATAACTATGGCTTAGTCACTTAGAATGTCATGATTCTTAGGGGAGCAAGAGAGTGACAGTACACAAGACTTTATTTGAAATTTTAAAAAACTAGTGTGAACCAAAGATCTTTGATGGAGCATTGTCAGAAGAATTTCAGAAACTGCAAGTTGTTACACAGATGTATTGATTTAATTAGTCTAGATAACACCATTTATTTATGCTTAAGCATCTCACACATGCAAAAGTTGGTAATTCGAAGTCACACAATAATTTGTGAATTATCTTCTATACCACGTGTTGTTGCTTCTGAATACCAACTTTGACAAGTGTGTGTGTCAGATGCTTCAGCATAAATAAATGATATTATATGGAGCAATTAAGCAATACAGCTTGCTTTTGGAATTCTGTTGACATAGTCTCATGTAAAATCTTTTGGGTGGTGACTTTTATTATTTTTTTTAATCCTCACCCGAGGACATTTTTGCATTCATCTCAGATAGAGAGGGAGGAAGAGAGAGAGAGAGAGAGAGAAACATCGACATGAGAGAGACATCAAGTGGTTGCCACCCACACGACCCCAACCGGGGCCAGGGACAAACTGCAACCAAGGTATATACATGCCCTTAGCGGGAACCGAACCCGGGACTCACCGGTCTGCGGGCCTATGCTCTAACCGCTAAGCCATGGCATGGCTGGGTGGTGACTTAAAATGACATTAATTGTTTTATTTTATTTTATTTTACTTTTTTATCCTCGCCCGAGGACATTTTTCCATTTTTTTGTTCAGATAGAGTGGGAGGGAGAGAGAGGAAGAGAGAGAGAGAGACATCGATGTGAAAGGGACACATCGAGTGGCTGCCACCCGCTCGACCAACCAGAGCCGGGGACAAACTGCAACTGAGGTATATGCCCTTAACGGGAACCGAACCCGGGTCTCTCAGGACCGCAGGTCGACGCTCTAACCGCTGAGCCAAACCGACCAGGGCCATTAATTGTTTTAAACACAGTTTAATCTTATAGTATGGGCAAGATTCTCATTGGAGACAGAACATATCTGGGTTTTACTGGTAAGGCCTCTTTGGATATCTGGGTGGATCCTTAATATACCATCACATCTTGATAAAATTGTTTTGATTAACCATACAGTGGGTGTTTTGGCCAGTGAATGAAGAAAAGTAGGTATTCTATTAACAAATAGATTAACTTATTTTGTGATAGATAAGAGACTATTATTAAATCTCTTTGGGAGGAAACATGTTAGAATCCCCATTTATTTTCCTTCTGTCATTTTCTCTCTCACCCCTTTTGCTATTCTTAATTTTAACTATAAGAACACCAAGGTATTTTGTGTTTGCCTCATTTTACAGTACTGTTTTCACACTTTAATTTTTTTTTATCCTCACCTGAGGATATTTTTCCATTGATTTTCAGATAGAGTGGAGGGAGAGACATCGATTGTTTGCCTCCCACACAAAGGGCCAAGGACTGAACCTCAACCGAAGTATGTGCCCTTGACTGGAATCGAACCTGAGACTCTGGTCTGCCGGCCGATGCTCTCACCACTGAGCCAAACCAGCCAGGGCTTGTATATTTTTTTTTATCTTTAGCTAGTTTAAACAGTTTTGCTGTAGTTTAAAGTGATAAGCTATCAAAAGAAGACTGAAGTATAGCTAATATACTAGGAATTTAGGTAGCATCTTTTCTTCTAGAGTTTGGGATTCCTCACCCTTTATTATTTTTTCTCACCATACTTTGTGGAAGATAAAAAGGGGAAGGATTGATTAACCCAGTTTTACACATAAGGAAGCAGAAGCTCATAGGGGTTAAGTGTCTTGCCTAAGGTCAGATGTATTAAGAACAAAGTCACAGAATGTAGCAGAGAATTCCAAAACCTGGCAGAGTGTAGCACACTACTCACTGGGAAATGTGATAGGCAGGTAATTATTTTCTCAGAAGACTTGACTACTGCTGGTCAATTCTTATTCCTTGGAGACTATCAGCCATCTCATCCCCAAGGCAGAAACTTGTTTGCAGGTTAGATCTACTCTGTAATCTTGGGGAGATCTTACTTAGCACAACTGGCTTGGAATTTCAAGTATATAATATATTTTCATGTGTCCTTCTAACATGGGTTTCTTCGGGCTGCCAAGTGCCCATGTTAACCAGTGTTCAAAGAATGTAAGATGTCGCTTTTACAACTATTAGCTGTTATTATTCTGTGCTGTATAATAGCGGGGCATAAAGGTATTCAATTTCATTTAATGTGCACCTAATTGAATACATAAACTTAGGAATGCACATGTAACCTTTGGCAAGGCCTGCTCACTACCTGCTCACTGAGGCAAATGCAAGAGGAAAAACACATTTTGCAGAGAAAAAGGAAGCCATGTAAGATGAGAGTCTTGTTGCTGCATAGAAAGACTGAATTTAACATGGGAAATGGCCCAGCTGGTGTGTATGTGTGGTGGGGGAATTCCATTTGGACATGAAGAATAAGGCATACTTAGTCAAAGTTCTGTAGGAACTTTTAGGTAAAACAAAGAAAGGACATCTGTAAATCCCAAGTTATAATTTTTATTTGTCTCATTGATAAAAATTACTTCTTGGTTATCTTAGGGGAATGTTGTTATATTAGAAAAATGTTACCATTTCACCTAAATCTACAGTTCTATGGATTTTTTTTTTAATTCATGAATTTCCATTATTGTCTGCATTAAAAATTTAATGATTTGATTTAAATACTTGAGACCTACTATCCTTCCCCAACTTAAGAATGGTTTCTTTGCCCTGGCCGGGTTGGCTCAGCAGTTAAGAGTGTTGGCCTGCGGTCCCGAGAGACCCGGGTTCGGTTCCTGCTAAGGGCATGTATCTCGGTTACAGTTTGTCCCCGGCCCTGGTTAGGTCGTGTGGGTGGCAGCCACTCGATGTGTCCCTTTCACGTCAATGTTTCTCTCTCTTCCTCTCTCTCCCTCCCACCCTATCTGAACAAAAAAATGGGAAAGTATCTTCGGGTGAGGATTAAAAAACAAACCAAAAAAAAGAATGGTTTCTCTAATAGTGGGGTGTACAGTTCACCTCTTAAGATTTTGGTTCAGGTGCTCACCCTGAGCCTGTTCATTTAGGATGATGTGGTTGGTCTGCTGCTTTCTTTAGTCTGGCTTGACACTCTCAAAATTGTGTTTGAAGGTTTCAGCAATTAGGAGAAACACAAGAGCATCTTGCTTTGCTTTTGTAGCAGGTTCTGGTTCACGGGCTTTAAGAAGAAAGCAGCTTTTTCATACACCCTAAAGTGCTCCAAGTGTTCTTCTGTTCAAAGAAAACAAACTGATCTCCCTTAAACTCTTACACACTCCAGGTACTTTAGGTTTCTCTAAATTTTTACTTTCATTATGATTTACTTAGTTGCTGCTATTTTTTTATTCATCAAGACTTGGAATGTTTCTATTTGCCATGGGAAGTGATGTTGATTACTGCTTTGATGATCACTTGCCATGTCTTTCTTTTGCAGACCCCATATCATGTCAACCTCCTCCTGGCTGGCTACGATGAGCATGAGGGTCCAGCACTCTACTACATGGACTACCTGGCAGCCTTGGCCAAGGCCCCTTTCGCAGCCCATGGCTATGGTGCCTTCCTGACTCTCAGTATCCTGGACCGATACTACACACCAAGTGAGTTCCAGCAGTCTAGGTAGGGAAAAGTAGTAGAGCTCTGGCCTCGGCTGCTTCCTGGTTTTGTGCACTACTTCTTGGAGTTGGTGGCCAGTGCTTGAATAGAGGAGGGATCCTAAGAAGCACATTCAGGTACCTTGTGGAAGCTGCTTTCTCCTGTGGGTTAGTAGGATTCTAGAAAAGTCGATAAAAGTCCCTCTTTTACCAGACAGAATGAGATATTGCGTGTGCGTATGTCCAGAGCTGGGTTTTTTTTTTATTTTAAAGGGGGGTTGGAGTAGTGAATAAAATGATAATTCTTCAGTTACAAAAGTTCAGTTTTTTCACTCATTTTGCCCTGTAATGCTTATTAGCATCTCAGCTATAGAGGATGAGCAAGTAAACCAAGTGGTTTGTGTGTTTTGAGCTTGTGAATAGGAACAGTTCCCCGGCATAATGACTGAGTATTTCTTGGCTTAAATGTCAAAGCTTTTGAAGGCCACAAGTCTGGCCCCTTCTCTTGGTTCTTATCACCTAATGGCTGCCCCCTCCTGCAAGATAAAGCTGGCTCTCTGCTTGTCAGTAAATTGTCAGCTTGGCAAAGCCTCTGACACAGGGATGCTTTTATGCTAAATTCTGTCTTCTGGCCCCAATCCCAACCTTGACTTGAGCCACTGTGAGCAATGGGCATTTGGGAGTCTCAGCTTTTACAGGCTATAGATGCAGCACAGATAACCACCTCTCCTTACATTCTGTTCTTCCCTGTCAGTAGAGTACAAATCTGGCATATTCATTCCTTTTTTGGTGCTGCCCTCTCACTCAACCTCAGCCTTGCCAGAGCTCCAGGCCACATCCTGAAAAGAATTAGCCTGGCCTCCTAGTGACTGTTTCTTGATTTGGCATCTGTCAGTAATACAGCTGATTTGCCCACCAAAATACCACCAACCACCCCTGAAGCCTAACTGCATAATATGTCATCCCAGTTTGACATGCCCATGGACAGTTCCTTTGGCTTCTATTTTATGAGAGTCTAGGCCCCATCCTATGAATTCTTTTTCCATTGTTAAACTGAGACCCAGCTGGGAAAGTGAGGCTAAAACTCTTGCCCTATCCTCCCTTTCCCTGATTTGCAGCTGGCTAGGGCAGATGGAACTGGTTTAAGCCCTGGTCTAAAGGGGGGTTTGGGGGTGATGTGGGGGATGGGCTATAAAAAAAAGGCAGGCCGCTGGACTCCTCTAGAGGCAGGCCCCAGCCATGGGAGGCAGAATTCCGTCATGCTTACCCTTCTCTGTAGCAAATCAATTTGCGATGGCTTGTGGCTGCCAGAGCATTAGGTCTGGGGCATCCTCAACTGCATATGGAATAAGTTTGTTGCAAGCTAGAAGGCTAGGAATTTTTTTGCCTTTTCCGTTTGTGTGACATGTTGACCTGAAGAAGTTTGAAACTTAATCAAAAGTTGCAGTGGAGAGTTGGATTTAATGGCAGTGCCTTGAGTGCTTGGTCTCTGTTCTCTTTTAGCTATCTCACGTGAGAGGGCGGTGGAGCTTCTTAGGAAATGTCTCGAGGAGGTGAGTAGCTCCCATGGGATTCTGAAAGGACTGAAAAGAATGTTTTGTCTCTCTGTTTGCCAATATTGTTCCCATTCCTCAGTTACATTTTTTCTGATCCTTGCCAGAAGGTGTAATAAATACCCACTAACCAGATGTGAAGTTGCTGCCAGGGATAGAGTTTGGTGGGTAATAAGCTTATTTTTCCTCTCATGGGTCACCTCCTCATCAATGTCAGTTTCACAATTTAATTACTTTTCTTTTTTGGTTCATCCAGACCAGTGGTTCTCAAATTTTAGCATGTATAAGAATCATCTAAGGAACTTGTTTTTAAAAAAATCGGACTCAGCCCCCCCCCACCCCCTTCTGATTCACTTGTCCTGATGTAGAGCCTAAGAATATTTTAACCAGCAGACCCAGGTGATTTTGCTGCAGGTGGTAACTGGGCCATACTTTAAAAATTGCTGCCCTAGCCCTGGTTGGTTTGGCTCAGCGGTTAGAGCATCAGCCCACGGACCGAAGGATCTTTGGTTCGATTCCTGGTCAAGGGTACATTGCAGGATTGATCCCTGGCCCTGGTTGCAGTCACGCAGGAGGCAACCAATAGATGTTTCTATCTCCCTCCCTCGCTTCCACTCTATCTAAAAATCAATGGGAAAATATCCTTGGGTGAGGATTAAAAAATAAATAAAAACTGCTGCTCTAGACTTTATACCTACTTTATTCTTGTGCTACCTTGAGTTGCCATATTATCTGCTTCCCTTAACAGTGCATGAGTCCTGGAGAGAAAGCCTACCCTGAGAATTTAGGAGGCTGCAGAAAGCAACTAGGAAGCTTTGGGCAGAAGGAAGGAGTGGCCTTTAGTTTATGAGGCCAGGAACAGAGCCCACTCAGTCTAGAACTGTTTCTGTGAGTCGGAGGCTTTGGGATATGAATGGAGGATGAGGAGGAAAAGAAAGCAGCTCCCTTAGGCTTTTTCATTCTTTTACTGTGCTTGTGGCCTAAGGATTACCTTGAAATCTAGTATAGTGAGAGAGTGGGAGGGTGAGAGCGGGGTGGGGGTACTTTGAATATAATGTCAGTTTGCCTCTTACATAAGCCTGTCATTTTCAGCCCACAGTGCCCCCTTCTTTCTCTTTTTGTGAATCCCCTTTCCAAAGTGGAAGCTGAGAATAAACTCATGTGCTTTTCTTAACCATTCAGCTGAGAGGCCATACTGGTCTGGCAGCCCCAAGTGTTGGAAGGGGTGGCCAGGAAGAGGCCATTGGACTATTAAGTGCTTTGAGACTTTATTCCTCATAGATCCTAAAGATAATCATGTTAGAAACCCACATTTCCTTATTGTCGCCTTATTTTAATCTTGAGTTTTTCTGGATAATAGGAGTCGTCAGCCAGAGAGGACTGTGGAAGAGAATTGGTTGCTACTGTCCAGTTCTCAGCAATAAAGGAGATGGGAAACATCGAGGGAGGGGGATCTTAGGCCTGAGGAGGTAGACATTTCTGGGATATGCTCCTAAGGAAGCAGATAGAGAGCTTGTGCCTTCTCTCTGGAGACTATAGGTGAGGTGTCCAGGAAGGATAGTCATAGGAGCAAAAATTTCCTCCAGCTGTGTCCCTCAGCACTCTCCAGTCAGGTTAGTGGGGCTGCCTGCTTCCATGCATGTAGACCATGCAGTTCCTTTGGAACAGCCTCTTAAGCAGTCTTACGACAGTGCGGAGATGTTACTTCAGTGACAGGTCAGCTTGGAGTGGAGGAGACAGAAGCAGGGTTTGTTCCAAGAGCAATTCTGCCAACATCCTTCCCCCTCCAGCTACACACACAGACACACTCACACGCAGCAGGTCTTGATGATATGGGTGGCAGACTGGAGAAAACTGTTCGGAGTACATTGCTTTGGTCCAAAGCATATTCCTAGGGCAATCACTCTTTTGTTGGCTTATCACCGAGACATTTTAAGAGAGAAATCTGTGTTTGCCAGGCTGATTGGTAGAAGACTTTGGGGAATACAGCATCGAATTGTCTCATTCTTTCATCAGCTGACTGACCAGAGACAAGCTCCCAGCTGCATTTCCCAGTTCTTGCTCACTACCTTCCAGTCAGCTTTCAGCTGCAGTTTGGGCTTCTTCAGTGTTCTAGTACCGTCGGCTCCCACTGGCAGATGTGCTCCACAAAAGCAGGGATTTTTATCTGCTTATATGCCCAGTGCTTCAGTCAGAGTCTGGCCCATTGGTAGTACTCAGTAAATATTTGTTGACTGATTTCCTTCATGTCTCTCTGCAGCTCCAGAAACGCTTCATCCTGAATCTGCCAACCTTCAGTGTTCGAATCATTGACAAAAATGGCATCCATGACCTGGACAACATTTCCTTCCCTAAACAGGGCTCCTAACATCATGCCCTCTCTCCCACTTGCCAAGGAACTTTTTCTGATGGGCTCCTTTATTTTTTTTCTACTCTTTTGATGTGCACTCTTGATAGGTGATTAATTCAGAATAAAGCTGAATATGGATAAATTGAGCTCTCTGGTTTGAGTCTCAGTTTATCTGACCTCACCTCAGGAAGGAAATGGAGGAAGGATTATCTGCTTCGACTTTTGGCCAACACTGTCTTTCCTCCTGTCCCTTTCCCTTCATTCATGCTCTGATTGCCGTTTAGCAGCCGACTGTCCCACATCCCATTTCACTGCCTAGCTTCCTTCCCATGTTGCTTGTTCATATATCATGCTGGCTAATGTCTTATTGCCTCGAAAGCAGTGATTCTTTTTCAGCCTCTAAACTAAAAAAAAATTTAATTAATTAATGTGAATAGGTATTACATGCGCTTAGTAGAAAATGTACACAGTACAAAGACACATAGTAAAAAATATTTCTCTTGTCCTTATCATTTAATCACCTGCTTCCCTCCCAGAGGAAACTTCAGCTACTGATTTCTTATCTGTCCTTTATGCTGTTCCTGTATAAAATGTGCACATGCACACACACATCCCCTGTTAAAAATAAGGTTGCACTCTCTCCCAGATTTCAGCTAAGTAGGTTTGGGGCATAGAAATATGTCTTAAAGCTTCCTAAGTAATTCTTATCCTCAGTCATGACAGAGAACCACCTGATTGAAGTTTCTTTGAAGCAGTGATCCTCAGACTTTAGCATGCATTCCAGTCCTCTGGACGGCTTATAGAAACACAGTTTGCTGGGTCCTACCGTAGTTTCTGCATGTTTGGGTGTGGCCTGAGATTTTGCATTTCTAACGTTTCCAGTTGTATGATAAACCCTACTTTATTCAATTCTGCGATACTCGTAATACTACATAAAGATAGGTTAACATCAGATTTAAATGTCATACACTTTAATACACCAATGATAAGTGATTTATACCATAAGGAGAAAGTTAATTGGTAGATAAATGAGGGAAAAGATGATTAGTATGTCCATAGCTGGTGCAGCTTCCAGCACTGCTGTTTGAAGTGGGTTGAAGAGTGAATTGGGGGTAAGGAAGGGGGGTTAGGGGCGTAACAGTCTTTCAAAAACTTGACTGCAAGCTCAGTGGTGTGGCTCAGTGGTTGAGTGTTGTCCCATGCACCAAGAGGTTGCCAGTGCGATTGCCGGTCAGGGCACATGCCTGGTTTGCAGGCTTGATCCCCAGTAGGGTCATGCAGGAGGCAAGTCAGTCTGTGTTACTCTCTCATAGATGTTTCTATCTCTCCCTCTCTCTAAAAAATCAATAAAAACATAAAAAAAAAAAAAAACGTGACTGCAAGGGAAATATGTGAGGAAAGGATTTGTGTTTTGTAAGGTCCTAAAACGTGTGCTTTGGGGGATGATCTGGTAAACTATTCAGTAAGAGAGGGAGAGACTGATGCTGCAGGAAAGAAAAGATGCCTGAAGAGTGAAGTCCTCAAGAAGAAGAGAGCTGGATTGGTATTGGCTCAAAACATACACATACACAAAGTCACTAGCATTAACCCTGACAGATCCACCACCCATGACTGACACATTCACATACAGGCCCACCAAGTGACAAGTATATACATACAGACCCAAGAGTCACTTCACACTCACACACAACTAAGAGCCACACTGACAAGTCAGATAGTCCTACCATCTGTACCACATCTCACACAGGTGCCCATAGCCCACTCCTGGGACTCCCCTTAGAGGCCCCTTCCCACTGCACCCCCTCTTCCTAAGTCCCAAGGCCTCTTGGGAGGCAAATCCAGGCCTGGGCTGAAGAAGGACAGGGGAGGGCTTGACATCCAGTGAAATGGTTTTATTAAGAGAATGAGAAATGATTCTGGAAGTTGAGGAAATATATCGACCACTGGCAGGGTCAAGAGAAACAAGAGCAAATACAAAGTCCTAGTGACAGCCTCAGGGTCCCTGACACATCTTTCTTCCCTCTGGTTTCTTATCCCCCAACAGTCCTTTGTGAGCAAAAACACCCTTTCCATCCTGGTCCAACTGGACATCTGAGTACGTGAGCAGGAAACCGTGAAACGAGAGTCTTCAACTTGGGATAAATAAGTTGCACTGGACATTTTTAAACTTTCAAATTTAATTACAACACACATAAATAAATAGGGCAATGACAGGACTGAAGTGCAGCCTGGATTCAAGTTCTGCAGTTTGTGCTTTGTCGTCTTTGTTCTTTGAGGCCCCTCCTGCCCACCTCTTTTCACTTTCCGAGAGTGGGAGGGGTCCACAGAGCCCACTGGAGTTTTCCTGCCAGCACCCCCTTTTTAGGAGTCAGTGATTCTAGGATGAAGGGTGTCAACTCCTCAGTAGCACCTCTGGTTTGTTAACAGTTTTTCTCCTGCTGTCAATAAAAACAGCAAGGCCTTGGACCCAAGAGCACCCACCACTGCCCAAGCACCCTAATGGGCAGGGCTCAACCCCAAGAACCAGGCTCTAACATGCCAATTTCCTGATAAGCACTTTTCAGCAATCCAGGGTCAGAAAATTGCAGACAACTGGGCCCTTATCAGCAAACCACCAGAGAGCCACCCCTGCCTTTTCCGACCCAGGCCCCTAACTCAGGGGTTTCTGGATGAATGTTTTCTTTCTGGCCTGACTCCAATTCTATCTTTTAATCCTTTCAGGCCCACCCCCAGGAGCCAAAACCTCATTTCAGGCCTTGGGAGCCCCTTAGGGATGGGGCTGAGGAAGCGGTTATTTCCGATGCTTGGCATCCTTCTCCGAAGCTTTGGTGTCACCATGCCCACTCCCCGCACTGCTTAGAAACATCTTGTCCAGCCCCTTGAGTGATTCCAGCAAGTAGTTCTGGAAGGCAGTGAGGGCAGCACAGATGGCTGGCCCACCAAAGCCATGGGTGATGAGGCTGAAGTGTGTCAGGCAACCCTGCACTCCGGGCTCCAGGATGAGTGCTGGGCGGCTGTTGCCCAGTGGTGAGCGGTCCTGAGCCATCAGGTCTGCAAACTCCTTGCAGATCTGCCTGGTAAGGGAAGGAGGGTCAGAGGTTAGAAGTCAAAGGTCTGAGCCCAGAGAAGGATCTACCAGGTACTGGGTACTTTATATATATTATATTTATGATTTCTGACCCTGCCAATAGTCTTCAAATGAAGATGATACCCATTTTACAGAAAAGGAAATTAAGGTTCAGAGACATTAACTGACTTATCCCATATCACACAGCTAGTAAACAGCACATGCCAATGCCCTAGGATCTCTCTTCTTGTGGACATCCTGCCCATATTCAAAGTCTAGCTCTACTACCTTATCCAGGAAACTTCCTTGATCCCCTCTCCCAATCCTACCCCCACCCCAAATGCCCAGTGCCTCATAGGGCTTTATCTGAAATTATTAGGGAATAATCCAGAATATGCCTTGAATAATTGAAATGATAGTTCATAGTGAACATGAGTTGAGGCCTAGATGCGGTGCCAAGTATATCATGCCACTTAGTTCTCACAACAAATCCATACTGTTATCACCCCCGTCGTATGATGACCTGTCCAAGTGACTAAGTTGGGATTTGAGTCCTGCTCTAGTTTGTGGCCATTATGTGTTTCTTTGTGCATCTTGTGTGTGGCTCAGGCAGAAGAATCACTCGTGTCTCACCTTTGTATCACCATGGAACCCAATCAGCATCTTAGACATGAGTGGGACCCAGGAAGTGCTTGATGAATTAGCTGGTTAATGAATGAAGTGAGCCCTGCACTAGATGTGTTTCTCCAGCTACAGTATGAGCAGCCTCCAAGGTCCCATGAATCACGGAAGTCCCTTGAGTCTGTGATTCCACTTCTGCCTAGGGGACTTGAGGAAGTCTCAAAGAGGGGAGGGTGGAGTTGCAATTTGAAAGACTGCATTAGATGGGGGTACTGGATGGTCTAAGCAAGAGAGCAAGCCCAAGGAGGGCAGGGGAGGGAGGGGAGGTAAATCGGAGTGGGTGGGGTTTGTATGGGCCAGATTGTGGGGCCTTCAAAGGAGTCTAGACTTGACCCTACGAATTGGTGGTTTTCAAACTTTTTTACTCCTTTCCTCTCTCTTTCTGTCTCACTCTCCCTTCTTGCAATGAGATTCTTTCCAAAAACTAAATCTTAATGGAATACAAGATCATTCAACAGACCCAGAGCATCCCCACAGAACCTAGTTTGAAAATCCACGCAGCAGCAGTGGGAGCCATGGGAGGTTCTTGGGCAGGGAGCAGTGCATGTGCAGGGAATCTGACTGAACAGTGGGGGTGCTGGAAGGAAGGTCCAGGAGAGACACAAGGAGACCAGAGTGGAGGTGGCAGCATGTGAATGGTGGTGAAGGAGGCACCAACGGGAGTTGCAGAGGGGTTAAATGTGAAGTAAGGACAAGGGGTGATCAACCTGGGGCCTGGGTGGGCATTGGTGCCCTCATGGAAGTCACTGGAACAGAAGGGCTGAGGTGAGGCTCAAGCAGAAGGAGCAAGACCACAGAACCTCAGAGCCATGATGGGACTAGGGCTGATGCCATGGGGCAGTGTATGGGGGCATGGCGCGGATGTAAGCCTGTCTGTGACACCATTTTTGCTTATTCATAGAATCCAGATATGTCCACCTATGTCCATGTGTGCTCTGTAGCAGGCACAGCATTGAGTGTAGGGGTGCCGTGTGTGGTGCCACTTGTGCCCATGCTTGGTGTCTGTGTCTGTGCATTGCACCTACATGTGCCTGTCCATGGCACCCACGGCAGCCTTGCATGTTGTCCAAAAGGGCCCACACAGCACCCTCACTCACTTGGCAGCCAGCAGCATGCTCTTGCGGCTGTGCAGTTCTCCAGGGTCAGCGTGCTGTCGGCACAGGTATTCAGCAGCTGCCTTGGCTGGGAACTCAGTCTCACAGATGAAGCCGAAGTCTCGGGCCAAGTGTATGGCTTCTCCTGAGGGGGAGGAGAGGCTGACTGATGAGCTGTCACTTCAGCCAGGTGTACCTTTGAGCCTGGAGCACTACCTTAAACATCTGACCCCCTGGCCAGGGCCCATCTTGCTTCTATAGACACTTTCCTCTGATTTCCCACTGCAGCCCCAATCCGTTGCCCTCCTTTGGGGCCACCAGGGATGGGGTCTGAGCCCACCATATACCCCAGAGCCTGAACTCAAGATGGCCAAGCTCAGAGTCAACAACCTCCAGGAAAGGGACGCTAACCCCCTCATCCCTTTTACCTCATCCAAACACTGGCCACTCCTTCCCACCACACACACACACACACACACACACACACACACACACACACATACTCTATACTGCATGGACACATGCATGTGTGTGTGTGTGCACATACTTATACATGACAAAGAACAAACACATGACTAAACACACCCTCCTGCATTAGAGACAGTCAGACATAGTTGCCTGGAAGACACAGGTCCCCTCATGTTCACGCTAACCCACCCTTAGGCCCCACTCACCCTCTACCAGTGAAGTTAGCAAGGTCACGTTGGCGGCCTTGCGACGGCCAGCAGGCAAGTTGAGCCCAATCTTCTCCAGCCGTTCTCGCAGGCACCGGCCTCCATTCTTGGACTTGGCCCTTCACATGCAGAGAGAGACAGACACATACTATGAAGATAAGAGAGAAGCATGTAGGCTAAGTGACCTTGCTGCCTCACCAACCCCTGCTGAGGCTTAGGTCTGGCCCCGGGGACAGTCTGGGACCCCTTTCAGCCTGGTCCCAACCTCTTTCTAACCTCACTGACTTTGTAGCCAAGATGGGGGTAGGGAACCTAGCATCCAGCTCCAGGAGCCCCTCATTTCTCCGTAATCCTCAATAGCAGGACAGCCCAGAGTGGGGCAGGATTGACCTTTTCCCACCTTAGCATGCCAGCTAGGCCATACATAGCTACCTAAGGACACACAGACCTTTATGCAGATACACTGGGACGAGCAGACACACACAGATACATATAGATACATACACAGATGAGCATACACTGAGAGCCAAGAATAAACACACCCCAATAGAGACATATACAGCAACACACAGACTCAGACACCCAGGGACATGTAGAGGCACATAAACAAATGTTCACACTAAGTCAGGATCCCAGGGACATAGGTCCAGACACACACATTCACACAAGCCCCTCTGGGATGCTCGAAGAGACCAGGAATAAGGAGATAACCCCACACCTGCACAAATGCAGCTCCACACACATGTCTAACTGCAGATGAATATGCAATCACATACACACAAGGTGGTAGGACACACTTTGGCCAACATATCCCACTAGAAGTAACAGGAAACTCACATTCATGGAAACATATCCTCCTGGCCACCCCCTACACCACACACACGCACACGCACACACATAAACATGCACTCATGCATGCACATACATGCACACACCATTCTCAGACACCAAAACTCATAGCCCTGAAGCACAAATACCCTATCCAGTAACAAAGATATGCACAAAGAGCCCAGCTGGTGTGGCTCAGAGGTTGAGCATCGACCCATGTACCGAGAGGTTGCCGGTTCGATTCTCCCGGTCAGGGCACATGCCCAGGTTGTGGGCCTGATCCCCAGTGGGGGGCATGCAGGAGGCAGCCAATCAATGTTCTCTCTCATCGATGTTTCTATCTTTCTCTCTCCCTCTCCCTTCCTCTCTCTCTAAAAATCAATAAAGAAAAAAAAGATATGCACAAAGAGAAACAGATACACAACTAGAAGATAACTGGACTCCAAAATGCACACACCAGAAGCCTGTGCTCCATGGGGAATGGACTGGGGGTGCTGGGGTCCCTTTCCTAGAGGAGGGATTTAAGAGGGCACCCTTTCTTCCCCAGACCCAGTCTTGTCCATCCTGCCCAATGTGGGTGAGTCCTCCAACCCTTCTCTATGCCCAGGCTTCTTCCTCCACACCCCACCCCCAAGGCCACAGACCCGTGGTTCCTGCTGGGGACCTGGGCCTGCTCTCAGAATAGCACAATCCCCAAGGGAGACGGAGGCACAGATGGCCCTGTGGCTTGAGGTGAGGCTGGACCCTCCCTGATCCCTTGACAAGGACTGAGTTGGCCACGGATTTCGGCCCAGGCACTGTGCAGGCGTTGTGGGCTGGCCTTCCTACCTGCGAAGGACACCACCCAGGAGTGAGGCGTTGAGGCACTCGGGAGGCGAGAGTCGCCGCTGGACCTCCCCCACTGTCACCTTGTACTTGGATGTCGAGCTGAGCAGGGAGAGCCGGCCTGGCACGGAGCAGAAGACCTCACTGGGGTTCGTGATGCCACCAACCAGGCTGTCTTTGGCCAGGGACAGGGCCGAGAGGCTGCTGGCTTTGGAAGGGATGGGGACTGTGGAGCAGAAGCAAGAGCAAGGGAGAGAGAAACAACACTGAGCCAGGCACCACAGACACCAGCCAGCTGTGAGCAAGCACTTTGACCAAGCACCAGTGTGTGCCGGGCACCATGCTACATGCTGTGCACACAGACACACCTACACGTCCGAGCATCTTTCAGAGGAAGGTTCTACTATCCCTGCTTTACAAAGGAAGAAACGGAGGCACGTTGACTCACCCGAGTGCACTCAATTAATGAATGGGTGGTGGCACTTGAACCCAGAGCGGTCTGGTTCTTGAACCTGTGTTCTCTTCACTAAGTCAGGCTGATTCCCGGTTAAAACTCAAATAGCCCCAGCAGACTTTTGGAGTTTGGGCATGAGTGACCAGAGAGGGAGTTGGAGATGAGGAAATGGAGTCTGAGCTGGGGGCAGGATCCTTCGGTCACTGTGACAGGGCCCAGCCGGATCTGCACATTCACAAGGGGTCCCCAACTCCCCCCTGCCCACTTGTGATCCCTATGTCTTCACCACCCCCTGAGTAGTGAGGGGACAGGGAGGTTATGGCCCCATCAGGCCTCCAGCCCTGGCCCCTTCATGCCAAGTCACTCTGGGATGCTCAAGGAGACCAGGAATAAAGAGACACCCTATAGGCCCCTCCTCCAAATGCTTTTTAATTATCTACTAATATCTACAAAGGGCAGGGAAGGGAATCTAAGAAGTTGATTTTCTAAAATGCACTTGGACACCCTTGGCTCTAAAAGAAAGTTCTTCCAGCAGTCTGACCTCTATGTTCCTGCTTAGCTTTGAGGGGAAGGGAAAATAACTGAGGCACTTACTTCCTCTGGGGCTTATCTTCTTTCAGGAAAGTGAGAGCCTTGGTAGAGGAGGAAGGTCTTGGGGGTCAATGGGGAGTCTGGGGCCAACAGTTAGCGAGCACTCACTGTGCTGTGAGCTTACACAGACAACCTCACTGAATCCTCAGGACAACCCACAAGGGAGCTACATTTATTATTCCGGTTCCACAGATGAGGAAACGGAAGCCCAGAGTGGTGAAGGGGTGTGCCTGAGATCACACAGCTGGTAGATTTAGAACCAGCAGCAAGCCCTGGACTCTGGCCCCAAAGACAGCGCCCTTACCCCTCCAGCCATTTGGGAAATATTTGCTGAGCATCTGTGTGCCAGGAGCTGTGCTAGGTCCTTGGGAATGCAGAGGTAGACAAGGCTGACCAGGACTTTGGCTTGGCAGAGCCCTCCAGCTTTTCCCTCTCCGGATGTGCACTCCTCTCCTCCCCTGACCTTCCCCAGCCAGAAACCTCAGTGATGCTTTCCACACTGCCTTCTCCCACCACATCCCCTCCATCACCGCATCCTGAGGTTTGCATTTCTCCACATGGCCTGAATGCAGCCACTTCTCCACATATGCACAGATACTCACTTCCTGCCTGAATTTCAGCACAGCCCCTCCTGCTCTGGTCTCCCTGCCCTGCTCCAGAGGGGTCTTTCTGAAACGCATACCACTCTCTAGCCTCAAACTGGTCAGCACCTGGTCCGTTCCCTGAGAAACAAATTCCAACTCCATAGCTGGGCAAAATGATGCTGCCTGTCCTTCAGAGAATACTGACTCCACACCCAGTGCTTCACACGAACAGCGCTGTGGGGTGGATGCCATTATCCATCCCCATTTCAAAATGGAGAAACTAAAAGTTTTGGCACAGTAATAAGGAGCATGAACTCTGACCATGGAGTCCAAAGGTCACATCCTTAGCCATCACCATGCCCTACTTCATCCTCCTTTGTGACCTGGCTGTGCCGACCCCTCCCTCTTGCCTGGTCCCCCATTTATCCTTTTAGCCTCTTGACCCACACTGGCCAACAGATGTACACTGTGAGCCATGTATGTAAATTTACAGTTTCTCTTAGCCCCATTTAAGCAAAAAGTAAAAAGAAACATGTAAGGTTAATTTTAATATATTTTATTTACTCCACTATATCAAAAATGTTATCACTGAAACATAATCAATATATTAAAAATTACTACTGATACAAATGGATAAAAAAAGCTGTGGTACATATACACAATGGAGTACTATGCAACTGTAAGAAAGATCTCTTATCCTTTGAGATGACATGGAGGGACCTGGAAAGTATTATCCTAAGCGAAATAAGCCAAGCTGAAAAAGACAAATACCACATGATCTCACTTATATATGGAATATAATGATCATAACAGCCTGAGGAATAAGGTAGACCCAGAGATGTGGAAGTAGGGTACAGACTGACAACCCTCAGAAGAGAGGGTGGTGGGAGGAGGGAAGAGATAAACCACAGAACTTATATGTACGTACGCATAACCAATAAACATGGACAACAAAGCCAGGGACGGGGTGAGGGGGGTGGGGAGGAGGGTGTCAATGGGGTAAAAAAGGAGAAACATCTGTAACAAAAATAAAATACAATAAATATTAAATAAATAAATAAATAAATAAATAAATAAATAAATAAATAAATAAAAGAGAAGGAAGAAGGTGGCTTTGAAAAGTAAAAAAAAAATAAATTACTACTGATGCCAGGCCGATGTGGCTCAGTGGTTGAGCGTCGACCCATGCATCAAGAGGTCGCTGATTTGATTCTGGGTCAGGGCACATGCCCAGGTTGTGAGCCCGATCCCCAGTGGGGGGCATGCAGGAGGTGGCCAACTGATGTTCTCGCTCATTGATGTTTCCATCTCTTGCTCCCTCTCCCTTCCTCTCTCTCTAAAAAATCAATAAAGAAAAAAATGTTTTTAAGTACTACTGAGCTACTTTACATTATTTTTTTATACTTTAAAATTCAATGCATATTTGATACTACGGCCTATCTTAATTCAGACTAGCCACATTTCAAATGCCTGGTAGCCCCATGTGGCTAAAGGCTCCCACAGTGGACAGCACAGCCCCAGACAGCAAAGGAGGAAGCACAACAGGTAACAAGTCGAGACCGGGGCATGGCGCTGCCTGTGGAAAGCCACGACTCGGCCCTTATCATGCTGGACGTACCAACATTGCCAGGTGTCCTGGTTTGATTGTTTTTTTTTTGCTGGTGAGACCAGGATTCAGGGTTTCTATGTGATATCTCTCCTTTTTTTTTAACATTGGCAAAAGTTTCAAACATTTAAAAACCCAGCAGAGGCCCTGGCCAGTTGGCTCAGCGGTTGGAGCATTGGCCTGCAGACAAGAGAGTCCCAGGTTCGGTTCCCGCTAGGGGCACGTACCAAAAAAAAATAAAAACCCAGCAGAGGCCAAATTGAACATGTATAAAACTCCACCTGGGATGTGGGGCCACCAGTGTGTGAGCACCACAGAACTGTCTCAGGGGCCCTTCTCCATTTTACTGAGCAGGGCTCCCCTCTTCCCAAGCTTCAGTTCAGGCACTGTCCCCGTGCAAAGCTTCCTGGGCCCTCCACCCTCCCTCTCTGTCGCCCTGATTCCCTCCTTACACACTGAACCTCCCTGTCTGCTCCCACTTCTATCTTCCCCACCAGCTTGCGCCTTGAGGGCAAAGTCTTGACACAAGTGGGTGTCAGTGAATGTGAACTAAATGAGTGAAGCAAGGGCCTTTGAAACCTGAAATGGGAAAAAGAGTGATGATGGCCCACAGCCCAGGTTTGGGGGAGGGGCGTTGGGGAGCCCCATTCCTTTGTTAGCACCTTATGGTAAAACTGCCCTTACTCCCTGGGTCCTCATTCAGTACAGGGAGGGCCAAAGGTCTTGGATGGGAGTGAGTGGGAGGAGTTGAGAGCTGGGGCTGTGCAGCCACTGAGCAGCACACACACCCTGACCCCAGGCTGGCTCAGTCCACAGGACAGGACCCAAACTAGAGTGAGGCAAGTGAGGCCCTCCCCTTGGGTGCAAATTTTAAGGAGGCACCAAAACAATCCAGTAATCAAGATAAGTAGTATTTTAATACAATATTTAAAAAATAAAAATTAATGAAAAAGTCCATGATGACAAAACATCAAAATTTTAATTAGACAGGGCTCTGATCTGGCTGTTGTCTGACCCTGCCTTCTCCCCAGCCCTCTCCCATTTGAAGGGCAGGGGTGTTCTGACTGGACAGGTGCACTGGCCCTGGACAATAGGCTGAATCTCCGTCTCGCACCCCAGTGCCTTGCAGGCCTGGGCACAGGTTCCCTCCTCATCTGTGTCCCTCTGTCTTGAGGGGACTTTTAGTGTGACAGAACTATTCTATATCTTAATTCTTTTTTTTTTATTTTTTATCCTCACCAGAGGACATTTTTCCATTTTTTGTTCAGATAGAGTGGGAGGGAGGGAGAGGAAGGGAGAGAGAGAAAGACAGAAACATCGACGTGAAGGGACACATCGAGTGGCTGCCACCCGCACGACCAACCAGGGCCGGGGACAAACTTCAACCGAGGTACGTGCCCTTAGCGGGAACCGAACCCGGGTCTCTCTGGACCGCAGGCTGACCCTCTAACTGCTGAGCCAAACTGGCCAGGACTTAATTCTTTTAATGATTACATGACTACATATGTTTGCATTTGTCAAAATTCATAGAAATTCACATCTAAAAAAGGGTGCACTGTACTATATGTAAATTATACCTCAAGTTTGACCTAAAAAAATAAAACAGCAAATTGATAAATTAAAAATTAAAAGATTGCCCGGCTGATGTGGCTCAGTGGTTGAACATCGACCCATGCACCAAGAGGTCGCCAGTTCGATTCTCAGTCAGGGCACATGCCCAGGTTGTGGGCCAGATCTCCAGCTGGGGACATGATCAATGTTCTCTCTCATCAATGTTTCTCTCTCTTTCTCCCTTCCTCTCTCTCTCTAAAAAATCAATAAAGAAAAAAAAATTAAAAGACTGTCCTTCCTCCCATGACCTCTGGCCAGAGGGAATGGTCAGAGAAACAGAAAATTTTTCTCTCCTCCAGCAGCCTCTTTCATCCAACTTCTATTAAAAGCTGGGGCCCCCTGAGGCCAGACCCTGTGAGAGGGGAGAGAGACCAAAGCTG